ATACAGTCAACTCGACTCGCAAGGTTAAAGGTGCAAAAGCTCGACGCACTATACTACACTAAAAGAGGCACGCTACCGTATCCTAAATTCAGACTACGACTTTTAGAAGATTTCTTTTTCCTCTTCAAGGGTTTTTCTTCCGTGTTTTTGTTGTTTTTCGTATTCTTTTCTTTGCATTGGATGATATCCACTACTGGGAGATGTGATAAAGGATTTGTGAGCCAGGGTTGCACAGAGACCGCAGGGAGGTGTGACTGTCAGGGAGCGATTTTGTTTATGGTGTTCTTGAGGACTCTTCTTGCTTTTTTCTTCTTTGGGAATTACTTATCAGCTACTGTTTCATAATTGAAAAGCAACTATCCATGACACTTTTATCGCGGGAGCTGTCTTCAAAGCAGTCATAACCGATGTAGTTGTCTACATGAAATCCTATGCTCCATTCGACAGGTTAACACAAATTGAAAAAAAAACGTCGCGAGAGACGTATTGGCAAATTACGATTGTCTTGACCGTTTCCCATGAAACTGTGGTGTAGCGGATCGCGCGGCGTATTCAAAAGGTGTCGATCATCGCTAACAGTCCTAAACAAAAAAAAGAATTGTGTAACTCCCACAAACCTTATCGAAGCTTCCATCATATACGTCATCCCACGGAACAATTCTGGAACTCTGATCCAATTTATTGTGTCCCTGAAACAATATCTTAGCATTGGGTTTGCTTTAGTCAGCACTGGGTAGAGTACGCCCTCTCAAAGGGTGTACTGAGTCAGTAATAGTGAGAGACGGTAGTCAGGGATTAGGCTAAGTGAGGGAGGCACATACCGTTTTCATGGGTTCTCGTTCAGACTTGGACACCAAAACTGCAGACGTGGAAGGTGGCATCACCTTTCTATCACTCAGAGGCCAACCGATCACAATCTAAATGCCATTAAACAACATTTCCGTCAACATTAACAAAATATAGGATTTGAATTGATGTCTTTATGTAAGTGCTAAAGACCCACGCTTTCTTCCATGTCAAGCTTCACTTCATCTGTCTGAACAATTACAGTACTGCGACCGGAATTCGTTGGGGTGGATGACGTTGCTGATGCACTCCGACGCTCAGACCTCGACGATTTACGACTCTAAATGGACCGCGGATCTCTATATTTTAACTCAGGTCCTGCTGGACTGCTCTAATGTTCTGAATCCATTTATCAAGTTTCTCACCGACACTGCATCCCCTTCACCGCCAGCGAACAGCGGCATCTGGATGGATAGAGCGGTTTGCGTTCCTGTTCCTCCAAGGTCGTCTGTGATCACTCCAGATGTGGGACGCGGGGCAGCGTCTGTGCTGTGGCGGCTGAAACGGCGCCATATAACCTATTAGGTCCAGAATAACAGTAGATAACTCTAATTGTCTCCATGTTGCTGTTGCTAATGTTGCTATGTTGCTTAGGATGCGGCCGCACTCAAGCGTCTTTTATGAGAGCGGTCTCATCTCCAGATGCTTTAGGGGTGTAGCCTCACTAATAATGCTCTAACTGCTGCCCCACTTTCTGAACAACGCACCTCCCACTGGTCAAAGCCTCCTCACTACGAAGCTGGTATGCTCCACAACTTTGATAAAATATACCTTTTCGCAGGTTCGCGTTCTCTGCTTCCTTCCCTCACATCGGGAGAATCCGCTCCAGCACTCGTTCTTCCCACATTGGAAGTTTTGCCAACTAGAGGCGAATCAACGGCTACAGGACGTCGAGCTCCTCGCACACGGCTGAAATCTCTTATATAAGCCTTTTTTCATGCCACAAAGTAATAAGACCACTAAAGACCCACAGGCCCCTTCATTTATGACCGGTTCTGAATTCTGCTATCAGAGCTCCTCGTGCGTTGGAATCCCCAACGGTAAGGGTCGTATTTGATCGCTGAAGGAGATAGGGTCGTATATGCCTTGGAGGATGACTCTCGGTAACTTTCTACTTTTTTTCGTTCCAAGTGCTCCTTCCCCTCCCGCACACGACACCACTTTTTGAGGGACAAACTGGAAAATTTTCCGGAAAAGCGGCGGGAAGTCGGGGGAAAACAGGGAACATGATAGGTGCATAGGGATAGGGAACGGAGGGGAGTCGTATCTGGACAGGAAGTTTTGAGAGAGGTCGTACTTTCCAGAAATTCTACCGATGGAAACACTTGCACTGTCTGGGACAACTATTTGGCGCTTCTCGTTGGCGCATTTTCAACCGCGGACTCAAGGTCTTAACGTTAGGCCCATGAAACGGCTGGAAATCTTTCAAGACCACAAGCGGGACCTCGCAATAGAAAAAGTCTGCGGTATGGGGAAGAATTAGGTGTATATCCTTACCCAGCAGGACTGTCGACAATATGGATAGAATCCCTTTCACCAGCATTTGTAGACGATTGCGGTTCACCCCGAGCAGCACTGCGACGTGTCTCAGTGCGTGACGGGGACTTCTGCTCTTCGGACGTCTTGGCTGACATTGGCGATCCGTCCCGATTGGATGACTCATCCACAATGGCAGCTGCGGATGTCGACTGAAACTTTCACATAAAATAAAAAAGGGAAAAATTTGTCACACACCACAAATATCATCACTAACGCATCACTTTAGGCCACGTTCTCACTTCGCAACTCGAGCAGTTCAGTCCGGCGCTTCCCAAGCTGCTAAGCTGAGGCGGTCTAGCCGCGAAGAATGAACGCGGCCAAGTGGTGGGTAAATAACGCACCTTTTTGGGTGGTCTGCCTCGTGGACGCTTCTGATCCGGTTGGCTCCTGGGAGAGTCCATACTATTATCGGTCACTTTAGTTTCAATCTCCTCAACTTCCATCTTTTCAACCTAAAAAACTATGGTTAGATGTGTACATAACATTGGCAACTATGGCATTGGAATCGCTCCACTAACGGCGGGTTCCTCTTCCTTTGGCACAACGCTCATGGGCTCCTCGTCGCCTGCGGAAGACCGACTAGGAGATCTGAAAGATGTTTTACAGAAAAATAGCAGAGGAGAAATGGCAAACATTCGAAACCACCAAGACCGGAACTCTTTCTTCTTATTCGCTGATTCAGAAGCCATCGTAGGCAATCAGTTCTCATCTACTCCCTTGGAAAGGTATGTGACAAGACAATCGTAATATGCCGTGCTGGTGGGCGTGGCGAGCGACGTCGCTAATGACAGACGAGTTGTTTTACTCAGCCGTTGGAACATGAGTGTCGAAAGGATGGAAAATCGGCACTATTTACCCTTCACTGATCCTTCCGAAAAAACCCAATCTTCCGAAAACAGGCCAATTTATGACCGACTTTCTTCTGCGTTGGCGGAATTGGCTGAAAATTTATTCCTAAGGTAGTTTGACCTCCTGAACATGAATATCACATCCGCTAGGCACGAAACCTCCTGGCGCCCGCGCCACGGGCGCCGGCGCCAAAATACCTTAAATCACCAAATTCGCTGAAAACTTGTTCTCAGGGGTAGTCTGACCTCCTGAACACGAATATCATATCTGCTCGGCCTGAAACCCTCCTGGCTCTCGCGCTACAGGCGCTGGCGCCAAAATATCCCAAATCACCGGCGCCTGTGGCGCGGGCGCCAGGAAGTTTCGGACTGAGCGAGTATCATATCCGTATTCAGGAGGTCAAAATACCCCAGGAGACAACATTTGGGCCATATGTCCACGGAGAAAGAAGTCGGTCAGCAAAAACGTGCTCCGTTCTAAAGTGGTTGGGACAGACATCGAGACTTTTCAGAGTATACGAGCCCGGTATCTGCCTCGGTGGACGCGACAACATTGCGAGTCTGTCCGTTCCTCTCCTTCGGAAAGACTTTCTCGCCAGTTTTCGCAGCATTCACCTGGCTCTCCCACTTGGTCAGAACGTGTATTAATGTCAGGAACTCTGAACTCAACGCACGTTTCCCCTCATATTTCTAGCTTTCGAAATTATCTTATATATTAACAGGACTGTTTTGGCTGGACATTCGCACGCATGAAAATTTTTTCCTTTAACACTCTGTTGATCGATGTCACTGGTATTCTTTTTCTAGACTTAAAGGTGAGTAGCGCTTTTACAAGCTGCAACTTCGCGGCGTTCATCATGTTAGATAAGCGTATAATATCCTTGTTCATACTTAGGATATAAAGACTACTTGGGATAGCGTCCAGGACTTTGCGTTGAAGCGCGTCGACGCGCTACAATTGCAACAGCGCTCCAATGTTGCAGACGCCAACGCACTGAGAGAGTATGGGGTTATAGGAGGGGACGCAGTGCCTCATCACGTAGTTTGTATTGATCGGCATCAGCACTGGCCGCTCGGACTTTCAGGAAGCATAGAAGAATGGGAGTGCCAGACCGAGTAAAGTGCCTGCCCTAATGTTATCTTATACTCTCCCGAACCACAAGCGGCCGGTGCTGACCAATCCCCGTCTGCGGCTGCGCTGCGTCTATAGAGTTGCAGCACTGTTACAATTGTGGTGCGTCGACACGCTCTACAACGCGTCGAGGCGCGTCATCGCGAAGTTGAACAGTGCCTTGTAAATTCTCGGGAGCTTTAAGTATCAGTCCCTCCATTGACAAATCTCAAAAAAGTTCCTGGAACTCTGAAAGTCTTCACAAGAATGCTGAGTTCACGGGCAAAAGTCGAACCCCAGGCGGGAGTCGAACCCGCACCTCACGCTTTCCGGGCGAGTGCGCTATCCGTTACGCCACCAGGGCCGCTTTTACCCTCTCAGCTTAACGGCTTTTATGCCGTAGCCTCATAGCACTCACACATTCTCAAAACTTACTTCAAAGGAGTACTTGACCTGCCCGGATTCTCAGCTTCTCGCGGTCTCTGGCCGAGTATTTTGCGTGGAGAATGAGGTCCACGAGTTGGCTAAACAGACAATTGTTAGCAGTTTTCATAATTTCATAAAAGTTCATGAAAGAGGGGTTCGGGGGCTACTTCGGAAATTAGAAGAGTGGCTGCTTTTACAAGAGCATGACCATCCAACTCATGTAATGCATCAAAAAGGAAACGAGTAGAACTACATTTCATGGAACAAACGAAATGTAGCATCTACCGAAGCTTCAGGCAACTGGTACCATATGTACTACCCATATTAGCTGATTTGTTCACATTATATAGCCTTGCTCGCTGCGGATGAAGGGGCGTGTCCGATGAGATGAGTTGGCGAGGTGCCCAATCCGTTTTCCACCGTCTGCTGATGCAAGCAAGGGACAAGACTGTATCATATCATCTGTAGCTTTTCTCTACCAGTTATGGTCGCCTACCCTCTTCAATAATAGGTAGAGAACGAGCTCGGCACTACGCGAACCCACTCACCGAACACCCCCTCCCCCAATCCGCAGCGAATCAGACTGTACGTTATACGTCGAGGATGATAATAAACATTGGCAAATATACCAGTGAAATGTAGGAAATGTCGAAGAATCAGGGTAAAATGGATAAGCCTTGAGCCCGGCAAGCATATCTGATGCTGAGAGATCTGTACAGGATAAAAATTGGCGCTAATAACCTTGGAAGGGGCCTCAACTCCAAGCGCCTGTCAGAGTACCAAATCCTGTAAACCGCATACATGGCCAATGCAGACCCTGTCAACAAGCAGTAAGCCTTGCTATTACCTGTCACTTATCAAAACGACTGGTCAAGAGTTGGAAAAGAATGGAGAAATGGCGCTTCATTGGGGCTGCTGCCATTTCGCCTGGCTTGGCAGGTGTTTACAAGACACTTGACAGGAACTTACAAAACTTGCGGATGAGACAAAGTTGTGAGGTGGGGGGGGGGCAAAACTCACACTGAGAAAGTTTACAAGTGCGGCCACCTCAAGGGTAATAGCCTAATAAACTTTTATCAAAATCAAAAAAAATTGTTACCAAAGCAGGAGCGGAGCGAGCAGTTGCCGCTTTCTTCTCTCGGTCGCTATGGAACTTTTCCGATACATGTTTGTAATAATAGGCTCCAAGACGTTCACGGTATTCTTCTTCTTCTTCATCATATTCCACCTGTAAGAAGAAGCTCACAGAACGCTTACTAACAGCTTCTGGGATTCCAAAGGATTCAGACATACAAGGGGGGGGGGCAAAAAAGACTTTTCTTCCTTGACTTTCGAGGCGCTATAAGTTACACTTTATTGAATTCTGATCGGACATTTTACCACCATATTAAAGAGCATATTAAATACTATCATGATACTCCGCCACAGCCTTCTGGAGGAGCGCCATCGAGAGATTCTGCCACGCGACCGTGAGTGGGTGCCTGAGTTCAGCGAGATCGTTGATTTCTCCGCCACTGTAGACCACCCCAGAACTCCGCCCGCAACCAGGTAATTAAGGGGCTCTTAAGGTCAGGTGACCTTGCCTTAGATATTTCCACCTTTTCAGGTTACTCAACGCCCTTGCCATTGCCAAAGTAGGCCAGGAGTTTTCCCAACGCAACTTTGATTCGCATGCGGTTGTCACCCATATCCGTAGAGCTAAAGTCCCAGAAGGTAGGGCGCGACATGTGTGAGATAGTATTCTTCCCGGAGTTGTTTCAGTGTGACCGCCCAGCGCTCACCTGTCCGTGTCGGGCACCAGAGAAAACATTTCTCTTCCTTTCAGCGAGCGTCGGCCCGTACATCAGACTCGTGCGCTTGGCGACTGCGGTGAAGATGATGTCCTAGACCGTAACGACGTTGTCGGAGCTGCTCGATGTTGGAGGTCTTCCAGATCAAGAGTACTAGTCTCCAGGTGGCTATCCATGGGTGATTCCATATTAGAAGTTTGCGCAGCTGTTTGGAGACGTGAATTCCGAAGGTCTCTCCAGTGTGGAAATGACTCAATATTTTGGTGTACAACGAAGCTAAGGCGGTGAAGAACTGCCAGCTTAACTTATCGAGAACAGTCTTAGGATAACTTCGCCTTGATACGTCGATATTGCACGTCCTCTATCCTGGGCTGCGAAAAACTTTGCTGATATGTGAACTCAGCGGAATGTGTTTTTTTGCCCCCCGAAGTCCTCACCCCCAGAACTCCCCCCTGCTATATACTGAACGCATACGACTTGCCTCCTCTTCTTCCTTCTTCATATCTTCTAACATCTTTTCCAACTGCTCATCATTGTAACTGTCTCGATTCCCCCATACTTTCATGAGGCGCTCATCCTGAATAGAAAAAGTCTCATAAAACACTGAATCATGTCGTTGAAATCACTGACTGATATGCTGACAGGTCTCTAAGTTAAGCCTCCTAACCCAAGGGAAATAGCGTCCGAGGTTAACGTGAAAAAAGTCTTAACTCAGGTTGTCATTTCAAACAGCAAGTGGACGCAAATGTACTCACATAGGATCGAATTTTCACTTGCATAAGTTGCTCGAAAAGCTCGGCATCTTTTCGATCCTAAAAATTTGAACTTGATCATAAAACTACCAGCGTGTCTGGAACTTTTGAACGGAGAGAACAGCAGTAGATCTCCTAAGCCTATACAACGACTTGCGGGAGCCAGCCACTGCACAGATTACTTTTTTATCCTCCCAAACAAATCCGATCAGTCTACCCTCCTTTTAAGGTAAAATAACTGATCGGCCTGAACGGGAGTCGATCTAAAAGGTTACCTTAGGAATGGTGCGTTGAGCGGGTCTATTGCCACTACACCACCTCTCGCGCGAATATAAAAGCTAATAACCTCTTCAGTGAAGTGTTTGATCCATGCGTCCACAACCGCAGTTCTACTGTAGTCCGACCCTGTAGGAACATCGGAAGGGCAAGGTTCGGCCATTACCTTACTGAATTCTTCTTTGCACTTCTGAAAAAAGAAACTTCCAACAATGTTCAATGGTAAAGTCCTGATGTTTACAATATATGCAATCTATGTACAAAACTGACCGCGGGAGTGAAAAACCCTTATTCGCCTATTTTCGATGCTCGAAGTTTTTCTTGGACGCTTCCATTACTTCTCTGCCCAGCACGCGTATACCTAAACGAATGCTATATTCAGAGGTCAAAGCAAGAAAGGAATATCTACACAATCATCGACTGAAAACGACAGCTATTCCTTACCAGTCCTCCCCTGAATCTTCTTTATAGAACGTGAACAGCGTCCAGTGTTCCAAGTTGGTCCACGGCTTAACCGCCGTCATTCTGTAACAATGTGACAATACACAATCGTTTTTCATCACGTTCGATGCAAACGACGACGTTTCGACGCAAACAAAACTCTTCCAGTGCTTTATGTGTCGACTACGTTTTGGGCTCTAAGCCCTATTCAGGTTTAGGGAAGCAAGTAATGCATCACGTCTCAACACCAATGAAAGCGGTCTGGAAATTAAGGTCCGTGAAATACATAAAGTCTGGTTCACTGCAGACGAAGGGGCGTGCCAGGCGAGAAGAGATTGGCAAGGTGCCAAAACCCTTTTCCACCAGCTGCTGAAACCAGCAAGTGGCAAGACTGTTTCATGTCGTTCGTATCACTCCAACCGTACTCTACCAACTGTTTCGCATACCCACTTAAATAGCTGGCAGAAAGGGTTTGGCGCCGTGGCAAACTCATAATACCTGACACGCCCCTCATCAGCCGAACTAGAGTATAGAAACATTCGTCACCCGGTGGAGAGGAGATAAAAGAAGCTTCGGAGTATGAGAGAGAGGCATCCTTCCCCCCAAATTAACAAGTGAGAAGAGATGCGGGTAGGATTTGATCGCGCGTAGCATGTATTAACACGTTGACGACGAGCCATTTTTCCCACGATTTGCGCGTGGGACGGCACATTTTTCTACATTGAAACTTAGTAATTTCCAAATAAATGATCAAAATGTATCGAGAAATGCAAGAGACGAGTATACCAATCTCGAATCTTTGACACAATTTAGCTTTATTGCTCCAATCTTCCAAAATCAGGCCATTTTTACCAACTTCTTCCTCTGGAGGCAGATTTGACTGAAAATTTGTCTCCCGGGGTAGTTTGATCTCCTAAAGAACAATATCGCATCCCCTTGGCCCGAAAATGTTTGTTCTTGAACTAATTTCATGAAAAGAAAGTGAAACAATCGCGCAGATTTTGAGTTATATAATAACTGTCGGACAGCATTGGGTGACGCCGTTCCACAAGACAAACTGGCTGTCGTCCACCATTGACGGAAATCGTCGTCAACGCGTTAAGTGGACATGATATTCTTGTTCAGGGGGTCGAACTACCGGTAGGGACAAGTTTTCAGGGAATTTGATGATCTAGGACATTTTGGCGCCGGCGCGCCTGTGGCGCGGGCGCCAGGCAGTTTCGTGGCAAATGAATGTGTGATATTCGTGTTCGCGGGGTCAAACTGCCCCAGGATCCGAGTTTTCAGCGAATTTGGTGATTTATGGCATTTTGGCGCCGGCGCCTGTGGCGCGGGCGCCAGGCAGTTCGTGCCAAGCGACTGTGGTATTCGTTTCAGAGGGACCAGCTACCTCTAGGGATACGTTTCCAGCAAACTTGGCTGTTCGTACATCTTTATTATTAGAACAATATAGTGGCAGACACCATTGTCTGCCATCGTCCCACGAGATAAACTGGCTGTCAGCACCATTGCCTGCCATCGCTTGGAGCTTAAAGACAGCTCCCGCGATAAAAGTCTCATGGATAGCTGCTTTCCAATTATGAAACAGCAGCTGATAAGTAATCTCCCAAAGAAGAAAACAGGCAAGAAGCGTTCTTCAGAACAACATAAACAAAACCGCTCCCTCACAGTTACACCTCCCTGCGGTCTCTGTGCAGCCCCTAGCTCACAAGTCTCTCTATCACATCTCGCAGTAGTTGATATCATCTAGTGCAAAAGAAAGAATACAAAAAGAAAACACAAAAACGCAGAGGAAAAACTCTGGGAAGGAAAAAGGAATTTTATCAACACGGTGTCTGAATTTGTGATTACGGTAGCGCACCTTTTGTGCGTCGTGGTTTTGCATCACGAAAATTGCGTCACTCGTGTTTTTTACGCGTTTCACCTCGCGAAATGGGTTGAATTGAATGTATATACCTCCAATGAGTAAACTGTAATGAAGGAGAGCAGAATTATCCAGGGGCATTAGCAATGCCCGCCGCCCCAACTAAGAACAAGTGAGTGGCCTCCGTCGGAGGACATCTAGCAAGTAAAGGCGGTCCGACTGAGGAGGAGTTAGAACTAGCACTTTGAGCGGCTATAGCAGCCTCCACGCTCACAATAGAGTCGCGAAAGGTGAACAGTCTTCTAGCTTGGAGGCTAGACTACTTGCACAGCAAAGGCGACCACGAGCCACTTTGATCGCGGGGGCTGTCTTTAAGACAGTGCGTTCATAGTTAAGGCAGCGATTTGAGGGCCCAGCAGCATTTTGAGCGTGAATTGCATTAGAGCGTCCATAAGCGTTTTTGAGCGCTCGTCAGCAACTTCAGCGACTAGAAAATTATAGGTACTGCTCCAGAGCTCTTAGCGTCCGTAGCATACTAAGCTGAGCGTCCACGTCCTGAGCATTTGAGCTACCAGAAAGTACAGGTGTGGATTATCAACTGAAAAACGTTGGTTAACCACTCAAAAGGCCTCGATGCGATATGCTTATATTTTCTGCAACGGCTGAAAACAGTTCGAAACGGCACTGTGAGACGTCTTAAAACTGCGGCCGAGCGAAGTACTGAACTTCACAGTGATATTGGACTTAGGCACGGTACTGACACCATCATCCTTCATCCGTTGCACACGCATATCTTTGGCGGGGGGGGGCAAAAAAAAGCTGCACTTTGACGAGTTGACCATTCTCAGCAAGTTTTCGCTGGCCCAGACAGAGACGTGAGATACGACGAGTACCAGGTCGGAAGATACCCAAGATATTCCTCTACAAGCACGAGCTGGCTCTCGCCCATCACCTTCATGTACACCAAAATGAAATCGTCTCCAGTCGCAGCCTGGATCTGGAGAAGCACCTTTGAATTCCATGATTTTTGTCACTCTCAAACAGGCATACGAAACTTCTTTAGTATTGGAGTCACCCATGGATAGCATATTGGCGAGACTAGGTGCTTCTCGATCTGCGAAGACCTCCAACAGTCGAGCCAGCTCCGACAACGCCGCGCCGAGTCGCCACGCGTCGTAGGACATAGCATTTTCACTCACAGTGCGTCCAAGCGACGGTCTCGTTGATGCGTATGGACAGGGACGTACCTGGAATGGAAAGACCAATATTTTCTTCGTGGACCCCGGACATAAGGTGAGCGCTGGCGGTTACATTGAGCAACTCGTGAAGAATATCCTCCTCACATGTCGTCGTCCGTACCTTCTTGGAAACTTTGTACTGCTACAGCATTGGGTGCCACCACATGGAATCGAAGGGCGTTGGGAAACGGCTCGCCTACTTGGAAGATCGAAGCGGCCGCTGGGTCACCCACAAGAAGATGGGATGATGGCAAGGTGAGGTCAGCCGTGAACTGAATTCCGCTATACGCGGTTCGCGGGGGAGTTCAATAGGTCGTCATACGTGGCGGTGCGGTAAAGTAGACTAATCTCGCTAAGTCTCAGGCACCACACAAACGGTGGGTTCGCGCCGGAATCTCGTCGGAGGGCGCTCGCGTCCAGGAAGTACTTGTGGCGGGAGACATGATCATGAAGTACTTTAACGATGGTCTCTTTAATAGTTTGGTGGAAGAATGTAAGATGAGTAATTGTAATAAAGTGCAATTTACTCAGCGCCTCGCAACAGTCAGATGGAATGAAAGAGTGACGGTTTTTGCTGCGCCCACCGCGTGTAGTTTAGCAAAGATTGCCGTGGCCAGGATATGGACACAGAGATAGGGCGAGATCCCTTCCACATGTGCCCTTTGCTGTATCCGATCCAGATGGTGCGTCAGGCGCTCGCAACGCGAAGCGGCCTGTCACAAGAAAAGAGGGAACAGAGCGCGCGATATGCGGCCGGAGAGAGGAGCACGAGCGCGACTGCCCCTACTTGACACGAATGGCAAACGAGAACGTCATCGGGGGAGGAGGAGAAATTTATATCTGATGGACAGTGGGCCTGGCATTCAGTCAGCCAGTATTGAGTCGCAAACAAGGGCGAGTCCAGTTGCATCACAGAGGGCGGTGAATCAAAAGCTCGGTGTGTCGAGCGTGGGGGGGGGGGCGGGCGCGGAGACTGCATAAACTTCTTGACAAAGCCCGCTGGCATTCTTATGAGGACCTCTCGGGTCGCAAAAATAGGACAGTCCCGACATCTGAGGACTGCACCACCTTATGTACGGTGGAGGGGGGGGGGGCTTCTGCAGGTAACCACGGACCACGTTTCATCAATAAATGAAACACAGAGCGGAAAATCTCGATCTAGAGCGCTTATCAAAATACGACATAGGACTGGAACCTAGAGTACACCAGAAAACCAGAATATGCTAGTTCTTCATTAGCAAGACAAAAGCAAAATAATACAAACAATATAACTTGGATTATACTCCGTGCCATCAGAGTACTCTCAACAATGGAATGAGAACAACAGAACAATAGCATATCGGCAGTGTTACGAAGAAAGAGAAGCATACAAAAGCAAAATTATTAAGATCACATAGGCGCATGTATGAAAGAAACAAAAAATTCCTAGAATTACAGGATAACGCTCAGCAAGAATTTGATGAACAACAATGCCATGTGCGAATAAGAGAGTTACCATGGTGAAATTCAAAAAGATGAAAGCAAAAAGACAGAATATCCTCAGCGATGAAGATGAGTAAGTTACGCTCAAATGAACAATATTTAACGAACCCGTCGATGATATAGACACCTTTGAACAAATGGAGGAGCTTACAGAAAGCTAATTGAAAATCATTCATGGATCCAACCCAAGTGTTCCGCCCTTACAGAAGAGCTTCTCGACGTTTGATTTCTAGTTGAAGGCAATCGTAAAGTTCACGCGCTCCTTTAGGGTAAACATCATCACTAACGTGGAACCTGAAGTAAAGACAATTCAACTATGAAATGCTAAACGAATTAACACAAGAGCTATAGAGCTGCAACATCACTACTCACATCACTAAGCAGGACACGTCGTACGTTAGGAACCGTTGCGAGGGATGGAGGGGGAGTCGTATTTGGCGGCTGAAGAGAGAGGGGGGCGTGTTTCTTTTGACAAAAAATTATTTCGTCTGTTGACTGGGGGGGGGACAGCAGAGGAGGAATTTTAAGGAGTCATATTTTGCAAGTTTTCTCCAACGGTGGGAACGGTTCTGCTCTGCCAAAAACTGTTACAATAATCACTTACCTTTGGTCAGATGACCCCGGCTCTGATCGATAGATAAACCTGGACTTTGAAACACTTGACACACGTAGATACCGACCATCAGGGGATTCAACACTGCACACTTCATTGTTCTTATTCTGAAAAAAATCACACTACAGACATATGTAAATCTTGGCAGCTACACGTGCGCTCACAGATTGTTTGGGATTCCCAGCGAGAGGTCATACCTGGTCGCCGAGGGGAAGGAAGTAGCAGTCGCCTTTTAGAAAAATGTTCGCTGGATTCTTCGTTTCATGAACTCTTTAAGCACTCTCGGGCTGGACTTAAACATACGTGTGAGAAATCCTGTTATAGGGAAATTTTGGGGGAGGGGGGGCGTGTTTAGCGAAAAAAATTCCGCAACGGCAGGTCGTGCCCTTCAACTATTTCAGTAGTTTAACACAAAGGAGATCAAGGAACATATTAATCAAATAGAACTACTAGTTGGGTATAAGTGGAGAAAAAAACCACAACACATATATAGGTTATGAGGACTTCGATGTGAAGAGAACTTTATAAAGGTAGATATGGTATTTTCTACGGATTGTGAAGATTAGGAACTGCCGTGTTCCCAGCATTTCTGCCAAATGATGTCGGTAGACGGGGGCAAGATTTTTCAACCTTCGCCCAAAGGCCTGGAATAGGCTCGAATATTTCATAGCTGAATATTTCATAGCTGATGACGTCGCAGTAGTTCGGGGAGGGGGGGTCAAGAGCGACTGAGCCCACCTCCGGCTGCCTTGCTCTTCCAATGGTAATCGGTTAGTGATCATTCAGGAATAAAACATCCAGCAGCGGCCATGGATGGGCACATCCAAACTTACAATCTTGTATCTCATTCCTCCATGCAGTCCTTTGGAGGACTCCAACGAAGCCTTCCCATACGGCCCTACGGTCGCGGGTGCTGACCGTTGCGTCAATAACGACTGAAATGGTATTAAAAATCAAACATATCACTGTAGAATCAGAAACAAGTACTTCCCTCCCCAAGTGTAAATATTGATTACCTGGGCTTGAGAATTCATAGTGGCAAGCGGAACGCGAACTTCTGAACGAGCAGCACGTGGAGAAGTTGCTGATTCTCTGAAAAGGAACAATTATTGCGGCATCATAGAAATCATCACAAAAATCCGAAAAAGAAACTACATTTGGGCGATCAGT